TATCTGTTTGTCTGTATGTATGTGCGGGATGAACTCAAAAAGTGCTGCATGGATTTACTTCAAATTCTGCATGAATATTACTAACAGCTCGGGTCAACATATAGGCTACATATTATTGTGCTCTTACTGAAAAGTTTCACAAGTCAATTTCATTCTACAGTTAAAAGCTATGTGTTGATTGAAAAATCGGTCCTTAAACTGTCAAACACCAAGCGGTCACCGGTAACCGCAACCTATTGTTCTATAATTGTGTCTACAAAACCGGTACTCGACGAGTTAAATTTAAATTATAGCTTTTTTTCATTGCAAATAAATAATATTTTGGTATATAACAATACAAGCGAGGCTTCCTCGTGCTCTCTGGTTCGGTGAAGGCGGGATGAGTAGACAAGAAATCGTCACGGCCTTAAAGGCTCCGATCTGGACATAGCCGTTCAATAATTTCGGATTCATGCATAAAGTCGAATTACCCAATTGTGCTGTGTGTGATCTTGTAGAGGACGTGCAACAAATTTTGTATAAGTGTCGACGTATTGAGTCTCAGAGGTCTGTATTTAGGCTTGAGAACTCTAATATTGGTTTTTGTCACATTTTTAGTGTGACCAATGTCAACTGAGGCTAGAAATTATGTATCGTTTTATTTTATGTTTAAGTTTAAGGGCTAGTTAGACCTATAAGCGGCTTAGCTGCTATAAAGCAGCTAGGAAAAACGCCCTACTTATAAAATAAAGATTTAAAAAAGAAATATTATAAAAACTTATTATGAAGACTCGGAACTTTTTTATTTACCCGTACCTAACTCAAAAACTGCTGAACAGATTTTGAAAAATCGGTCCTTACAAATTTCCCTACCTACACGTTCGATTACAATATAAAAATGTAACAGTTCATTAGTTTTCATTAGAAATATTAATTACTTATTTCGTTTAGTTAACCTCGTGTTAATATAAAATGCTTCATTTTCGTAGTGATAAGTTTTATTGATAACGCGAGCAGCCTATCAGAGTGGGCGATTCGAAATAGGCGTTTCCTATTAGGTGGTACTCTTTATTAGAGATTGGGGATTGGTCAGCCAAGACCTTGGGAATCTTCAGGTTTCTCCCTAACTACAAAGTATTATTAATTTATTCTTGCATGATTATCTCCAACCACGTGGTTGTTAGGATAACCGGCGAGCACGTGGTCTCGGGTTCAATCACCGGGCTGGATAAAGTAGTTACCTAATGGAGATGATGACAGGGTATTATAATAAAACATCATTCAGTTTAAAATCGTACGTAACGAAAGGCTACTCAATTTAAATTTACTTTATTAACTCGTCGAGTACCGGTTTTGTAGACACAATTATAGAACAATAGGTTGCGGTCACCGGTGACCGCTTGGTGTTTGACAGTTTAAATTAAATATGAAACAACTTACATACTACTTAAACACGACATACTTGTATACAGCTAAAATTTAAAATTTTAATTTGTACTTAAATGTATGACATTTAAGTACAAATTAAAATTTTCGTCGTGGTAGCTCGGAGGTCTGAGACGCTCACTTATCATGCATGAGGAACGAGGTTCCGGGCCCGAAACCTACCAATGGCGGTAGGGTGATTCTCCAAAAAAAAAAAACAAAAAATTAATGGCGTCAATATCTTTAAGCCAAAGTTAACAATTCTGCTGATTAAAATACAAAGTTTAGTTTCAAAAAATTGAGCCGTGCCACTGCTCTCACCCAATGCAATAAAATACAGATGGTAATAAGTTACTGCGATTCTTAACAACGCGGGAAGATAATGATTTGTTAAATAAAAGTTAAAGTTTTTTGAAGAAACACCCAGTACCAATATGATTTTCCGAGTCATATGTACATATAACTGAAGAAAAATGGACTAACAGTGAAGGACAACATCGTGACGAAACCTGGGCTTATTATTTCTAATTATAAGTTTGAAACCGCATTGAGCATGCGTGGTGATTAACGCCCAAAACTTCTTCGTGAGAGAAGAGGCTTACCTTTACGATGATTACCTATATCATGTGTTTGAGCATTTTCAGTAATTTTATGTTCTACTAGCGACCCGCCCCGGCTTCGCACGGGTGCAATATGCATGTATCATACATATAAACCTTCCTGAACAATCACTTTATCTATTAAAAAAAAACAGCATCAAAATCCGTTGCGTAGTTTTAAAGATCTAAGCATACATAGGGACAGACAGACGGCGGATAGCGACTTTGTTTTATAAACACACACATACGTGCAATACACATGTATTATACATACATATATAAACCGTCCTTAAGAATCACTTGTATCTATTTAAAAAAAACAGCATCAAAATCCGTTGCGTAGTTTTAAAGATCTAAGCATACATAGGGACAGACAGACGGCGGATAGCGACTTTGTTTTATACTATACTAACTGACCCGGCAAACTTCGTACCGCCTATAAGTACTTTTATCACCTTTTAAACCTTCCCTGGACTTCAGCGAACATTTAAAGACCGAAATTGGCCAAATCGGTTCAGCCATTCTCGAGTTTTAGCGAGACTAACGAACAGAAAATAATTTTTATTTATATAGATTAGTTCTTTAATCCTATTCAGGGCCTGTTTCACAATATCTGGATTTCTACCAGATTAATTTGTATGAATGAATTTATGATCTCATGTCTAATAATAAAATAATAAGTATTTGAGTGCCATATTAAACTGTCAAACACCAAGCGGTCACCGGTGACCGCAACCTATTGTTCTATAATTGTGTCTACAAAACGTAAGGTGGTGTACTAGTAGTTATTATAGTACTTAATATTATTTTACATAACATAACATCACACCTTTTATCCCCGAAGGGGTAGGCAGAGGTGCACATTATGCTGCTGCACAATGTAACACTCATTTGTCCCCAAGTAATAGGGGGTGAGTCTATTGCCATATACCAGGCACAATTCCAGACTCCTTGCTACTACTGAGTTTTAAAAAAAACTAATAATACTTTGCCCGACCCGGGAATCGTACCCGAGACCCCTTGCCCAGCAGTCGCACTTGCGACCGCTCGGCCAATGAGGGAATCAGAAATATTATTTTATTGCCATATTAAGTTAATAAGTTCAAAAAAATATTTTTGTTTTGTTAATATCTTTTAAATATTTAAATATTTAAATTATTGTAACCACCTATAAATTTTAACTGTTAAATATATCCACGTGGAACTTTAAGTATCTAAGTGGACCTGGGCTGGTCAAGTATGCCGCATGTCAGACGAGCGGCGGGCAAAACTTGCTACTGAGTGGTGCCCGCTCAACGTCAGTAGACATCGTGGCTTTACTTAAAAACGAGTGCAAGTAGGGTGGGAGGCCTTTGCTCTGTAGAGAGGCGATCATTGCTAAAACTAAAAAAAAAAAAAATAGGTATATCTTGCCTAAAAATAACATCAATTACTCCTATAAATTTGTAAGTAGAGTAAGTACTTTAGCGGTGCCCAAAAGGGCCTATAGTTGGAACATATTTTGTCAAAAAATTGTAAACTACCCTGTAAACACCCTTTTTAATAGAATAAGCCGGTAAACGAGCAGACGGATCACCTGATGGTAAGCAATCGGTGCCGGCAATGGATACCTGGAACGCCAGAGGTGTTACATATGCGTTACCGGCTGTTTAGGGATTAATAATTTGAGGATTATTGGGGATTCGGGGATTGGGGAGATTGGGAAGGGGTAATTTGATAAGTGATTTGATTTCTTATATCCGACGATTGTTTAGCTAGGTAGTTCTCAAAAAAAATATATAAAAATTCCATAACTTCATAGGCACCAAATTCCATTCAGCACAATCACATACTGACTCTATATTTCTATAAATAGTTATCTAAATATCCCACCATGGGGTTGCAATTAAACTTCAACCCCGGACGTAGCTCTACTACGGAACTGGTACGATAAGTAACTCTACATAGAGTGGGTAGAGTCGGTAGAGTCCGGTTAGTGTCACGTACCATATTGTCTGATATTGCTTGACCTCATTATCCGGTATGAGTGTGTTACGAGAGGGAGCGAGGAGGTCTTTTAGATGATGAAACTGATTCAGGGAGGGTCATCATTATTAATCTACTGTTTCTTATCTTCTTCAAAACGTAATTTATTTGTAACTGTTACTTTTTTAATTTTCAATATTTTTTTTTTTAATTTTTAATAATTAATTTACCTGGTCTAATTGAAATAAATGATTTTTGACTTTGACTTTGACTTTGATTTTGCCTGGTAAATTATTTATGATAGATTAAGTAAGTAGAAAATATTATTGTTCAATTTTTAATAACGAGTCGACGAGGAAATTTATTTCATGGTTAATGGCCGGCAACACATATTTGACAAGAACGAAAACTAATTTGATGTCAAACAAGACACATATTTAACAAATACAATCTCGTTCTTATTCGCGTGAACTTAGGGTAGAACTTTTGAGCGGAAAGTAAAAACTGTAAATATAGGAAAATACACAGGTTGCTCATACCTCATCATAGTTTATGACTTTCACTGTATATTTTATATATGGGATCTAACATTATATTCTTACTTGATCGGCACTTTGATAAAGAAAAATCAATTAATCACAATAACGTAACTTTCATACGATAACATGCAGCCTCGATTTATAAATAGAAAATCGCTTTCGCCTATCACGCAAACCTACACTCTACAACTTAAACGAGGCGAGACTTTGTCCCGAGACATTACTAGACGGGGACAGAACGACAAACAGCAAAACAACATCAAAAGCTTCACACAATCGTAAACAAGAGGAAAACACAATAAGGGACAGTGAAACCAACGATTTATGATGCGCCGGCGCACGCAAGTCCATTGTCCACCGCTCGACCTCCGGGGAACAATGCTCCGATAAAACATGAAAAAAATCTCAACGGAACACCCCCAGAGAGCGCGAGCCTGCGCGTACGCATCGTATATTAATCCGTGTATTTTTTCACGCGTGTCAGTTGCGCGCCTCCCGTCGCCGTCACCGCACGCATGCGTCTCGATCTCCTCTACTATTTCAATTGTCTGCGTCGTAGGAATTTACCACGATGGGTAAATTACTGAGTGTGATCGTGTTTATTCTAGTCAGTAGTTGTTTAAGTTTAAAGGGGGAGTTGTTAATGAGTTACTGTGCTAATTGCGCGAATGGAGACCTGAGTGTGACTGAGTTGACTCAGGCGCGGATAGAGTTCGTCAAGCAGCAGATTTTGAAGAAGTTGCGGTTGAGTAAGAAGCCGGCAGTGGCTCTGCCTGTGAACAGCCTGCCGATGCCAGTAGCGCAGGGTCAGACCCTGAGTGAAGGAACCAGCAAGCCACCAGAGTTCGATGACTATTACGGTCGAACTGAACAGAAGATTATATTCCCAGTTGAAGGTAAGATACTTTCATTTTGAACTATTTTGTCTTTTATTTTTACTCTGAGAACTGGGTGAACCATGATGGTGACCAGAAAAATTGTCAAATTTTTTGTCTCGATATTATTTTTTAGGCTATAATGCTAACAGACTATAGTCAGTGTTAGATTGCTAATGCATTAAGTATTGCGAGCGCATATAATATTATACCTTTTATTTTATAGTTTTAAAATATTTACACAGGCTGTTAACAACTTCTCATTTATTTGATTTATTTATTTTTGCTAATTAGAATTACTCTTACAAAGTATTATCTAAGCACTGAAATTAAATTAGATATAACATAAAGCTCCACCTTTTTAATTCCCCAAGGGGTAGGCAGAGATACTCATGACTTTTATATACACATATATAGATTATTAGTAGGATTTATGGTAGTTGACGTTAATATACCAGGTGGTATAATATTTTGTTCTTTACGTAGTTGACTAAACTTCGTAGGTGTGAACTATAGAGTTTAAAGTATTATATTCGATGCAAACTTGAGGAAAATATACTAACTTGTTTCCTTGTAATTTAGAAAGTAATAAAATCATATTAAAATACTAAAAGTAGCACATATTTGATTTTTATAATTTCAAAAATCTTAGTATGTGTTTATCTATAGATATTATGATTCGTTTCGTTTGCAATTGCAGAAAAATATTTCTTTTACCTTCTAAAAATCACACTAATATTATAATACTGAGAGTTTCTTTGTTTGTATGTTTATCCGTCAATTACGCTGAAACTACTGAACGTATTTTAATGAAACTTTGTATACAGAGAGGGTATGAGCTAACTTAGGTGATAGAATACTTTTTATCCCGATTAAATGCTCCGTGGGATAAAACAGGAATCATATTCTGCGCAGCCAAAGTCGTGGGCAGCAGTTAGTTTTATAGGTATTTTTTTTTTTTTTTTTTTTTTTTTT